ATTTTTCTGGGAGTTTCCAAACTTACGATGAATAAGAGATTGATCTTCTCTGTTCTTCTGGGGCTCTTGTAAGTGCCAGAACAATTAGCAGAAATTGGTTTACCAGTGAAATAAATTCCCCAGAGAGATATTGAACTTCTTTCATTGGCTAGATACCATATGGCATATATGACACCCTTGCGTGCCCTGCAATCAAAACACCATGCTAGGGTTCACAAAGTTCAGTGAAATAATGAAACAATCTGATGCTTATATACTTCTCAAACAGTTTATTTGTCATTGATACTAACTGTAATATTGAATGTACAGAAGAGTTACGGTACAAAGAAAGCAAGTTTCCAGTAGAAGTAATGCAACAGTCCAGCTGCTCTGCATGCTACTCACAATAGATTCTTCTGGACACATTGACCTTGTTATGCAGAAGGGCCTATGCAACTAGAGACATAGTTCAGTGGGTAAAAATGGACTGTTTTTCCCCTATGGAAGAAACACTATTGTTTGGGGAGAACCCCTTCTAAAAGTGATTCATATAGCCGTATCAGGAAAAGGTGTGGCAATTCTTGTACACAGTATAAGCTGATCATAAATACACCTAGGAAAAGTTGAATTCGCATGTCTTAACATAGTTCTCAAAAGCAGCCCAGTTTACTATTTATGTTGTTCACTCATCAGATTTACCACTTCACATTTCCTGAAACATTTCACTTTTATAACTTGGGTCTGCTACTTTTCAAATACCACAAATAACCCACAGTTGCTTGCACATTCTTCTACAACAAAAAAAAACAAAGATATTTCAATGTGCCACATAAAACCATGCTTTAACTGTTTACAAAGTAACTAAAACAGTTCATCTCAAAACCTAAAATGATTAAGTTGGAAGAAAGTTCTCTACAGTATTTAAGAAAAGTGAATTCAGAAAAGGTGTAAAGGAGGAAAATGTCAAATACTTACAAGCATTACCAATATGTTCTATGAAGCCTTTAAAACTTATTTACATACATAAATACAATTAAGTCTCATGACAACCTTTTTATCACAAGTAGAACAAAATAATTAGTGGATAGTATTATCCAATGGAAATCAAGAAAAGGTTGATAGAATGGCAAAATGTTAAAAACAAAGGTTGGTTTTTTTTAAAAAAAGCAATTGTAACAAAATCTTCTGGGGACCGTAATGAATACTTTATAATTATGTGTCTTCTGTAGGAAATCAGCTTGGCCTTTTAATAGAAATCTTAATAAGCAGAAATAAATAACAACCATTTACTCCACTGAATTACGATGTAGAAAAAATGTTATTTCAACAGCAGTATCAGAGGTTTTTTACCTCAAATATATAGCCACTTGAAATACGTTTTACTTTTTCTTTTTACAGATAAGTATGTTTATAAACTCAGTTATGAATCTTGATAGCCCCCCATGTTATTTTTTTTAAACCAGTTCAGCTCAACTAAAATCAAATTCATTTCAATAAAGAAATCACTATTTGTTATTAAGCCAGGTACTCCCTGATCTGTTTTACAAGACGGTAATATTGTTGAATTGGAGGAAAAAAATTGTCAGACAGAAGAATAAAACAAATTGCTATAAAAGGAATAGCTTTTTTTCAGGATCAAAAGGAACTCCAATGTGTAATTGATTTATACAGAATATAGAACAGCTGATGCTCTCCAAATATTTGTTGACTTTGATGCCCAGAATTTCTGATCAGTATTGAAATCAAGCACATCTTCAAAACACCGGCTTGAGAAAGGCAGTATTAGAATATGTCTTTTACCGGGCTCCAGATGAGTTTTACTTTAATATGTAATCAGCTTTACCAAGTTTGATTCTATGTTTTAGGAAAACAAAGCACTCCAAGCATGGAACCAGTAAGTCCTAAATTAAGTCTACCCAACTATGTTTCATTAAAACAGGAATTTTCCTCTGAGGTGGCCTCTTTGAGAGATTTAGTGTAATCTGGTGTTATATGGCTGTCATATAACATTAGGGAAGATTATTCGACAGAGAGTGCTCCCGTTTTGCTTCACAGAATGCAGTCATAAAAATCACTGCTCCAAAAGTAGAAGCATCACAGAGGTTGCTTACTATTTAAAGGCAGGCAAAAACACTGGATTATAAGTATATCACCTTGCAACTGTTCCTTCTGAATGAGATCCAACAGAAACTCAACAAATTTATTATCATGGGATGTCTGTATATTTCAAAAGCCCTATCTTTAGGAGTAACTTTGTTTTAGTATTTCTAATTACAAATCAATATTTTGCAGGATAAAATCAAATGTGATCAATGTCTTATAAAATTAAAGTCCAATGAAGTGCTTTCCTCCCCCCAACTACTGAAAATATTTATAAAACCATTACAATTATCCAAAGTGGATGGGGATGATGACAGATGAAATCCAAAACATCTGGAAGATATCAAGTTAAAAAAAATGTAGATTCTCCGTGTCTTATGGTCAAATTCATACTTGAAATCTTGAATATACACTTTTAAAGTTCATTGCCATTCATTTGTGACTAATTGCCTTTCAAATTCTAATACTGACAATGTCATGAGAAAGACAGTTTGGAAAATCAAATCTGGATAGTTTTCGGGGGAGGGGGAGAAGGCAATGAATTAGGGCATCTTAAATATTAGGTAAAGAGCCCACCAGGGATAAGGATTAATACAATAAAGTAAGAAATAAGTAATTGTTAGTACTGTTACATTTTAATCTAGGGAGTGCTTACTTTCAGGAAGATAGCTGAAAGGTATGAAAAAGTAATAATTGAAACATTAGATGTAGTGCTCTCAACTTAAGACCTTCCTATATTACTGCACTGTTTTCTGAATGTTTACGGTATACTGTACAAAGAAGGATAGAACAGAACGCATGTAAGAGGAAACCAGCACACCTGCAAAAACTGAGTCATAGCTCACTGGTGAAGCACATACTTTGCATACAGAAGGATCTTGACCTTAAATCGCTGACATTGCCAACTGAAAGGACGGTTAGCAACTATTGTGAAAAACGTCTGATCATGGAAAATTGTTATTGACAGCACATCAGGTATCAGTGACAAGGTGTCTGTGGGCACCATGGTGTCCTCAAGAACCTCACAAAGTAACTTTTGTTCAAATTATAGCAATATTTAAAATTGCTGAAAACGTCATGAGAATCCTGTGAAATTATAGCAACATCTTACGAGATTGCTAAAGATTTTGCCAATGGTGCTCAATGCCAGAAATATTGGCTGATTCTGAAGTAGATAATACTGGACCATGTAAACAACTGGCCTGATCTGGTGTAAGGCAGCTTCCCCAATTCTTGTAAGTTTAGTGCATTCTGAATACATGCAAAGTGCTTACCCGTGGCCTTTTGCAACTTTTCATCTGAACCTGGCTGACATCTATAACACTGCATATATGCCAACCAAGCACTTAAAGCTTATTGGCTTCTCCAGAATCTTACCCAGCTCAAGCTCAGTGCTTTTTATTGTTATATTCTCAGAACATAGAGTGCTAAAATGGATTTAATCCAGTCTGTTTCTGGAAGAAGCTAGTGAATTGTGTTCATTGGGGCTTATTCTCAAGTAAGTATAGAGGGTACTTATTTCTGCATAAATTGGAAGAGAAGCGTGCTATTCATTATTAATGAATGTGCCCAGATATGAATTCTTCTGATAGAAATTGAGAGCATGGGGTGGTCTTAAGGAGTACGACAGCATTCAGATCCCACATAAACTAGTGCTGCTTAATTTAAAGTAAGGTTTTGTATGTTTGAGATATACTAGAAAACAGTGCCATTTTTAAACAACTAGCAGGTTGAGTTATTTTATAAAATCCAAACAGAACCAAATAAAAAAGCACACCAAGTTACAGGATGGGATATGCAAACATAAAACCACCTACAGATGTGAGGTCCATTCCATATGAACCAGTTGTTCTTCAAGAGTTTATTTCTGGACCACAAGAATCCACGGAAGACTGCAAGTTTGAATATTGGAAAGATGTCAGGGTGGGGCTGCTTAGGACTTTATGGTATATATGCTAGGCCTCTATCTACTTATAGAAAGTGAAAGAGTGAGATGCTTTTTCTACAGGGAGAGAAAGTATCTGCATTTTTCTTTATACTTATGAACAGACATTTGTGTGTCCATAAATTACACTTTGGTATCCAGGTAGTGATGAAATCACCTCTCTGAAGTGGTAGATGAGATTTCTTGATCTTATTTTACACATTTGGATTGCCCCCCCTTCCCCAATGCATTTTAAATGTAGCATATTTTTATTAATTTTCCTCTGAAAATCACAATATGTGAATATTCTGAATATCTGAATTTTGGTGGGAAGTTTGGGAGTTACCCAGGTGACCAAAAACAGGTTCAGTAGTCTCAACGTTGCCCACCCCTCTTATAAGGGTGCAAAGTAGCTGAGGATGAGTGAGTGAACATATGCCTAGAATGAAGAATCCCACACTTAAGTTATTATTTTGTTTAAACTTCAATTATGTAAGATTGCTATAAAATCCTTTGGATTGTGTGTCATACGGGGGGAGGGCTTTCAATAAACTTGGGTCTTCAGAATTGTGACTAGGATACAGCCTTAAATGAATTTTTGAATCTCCTATTAGGGCAAGGGAGAAAACTGGGGTGTATCATATTTTGACCATAATGTGGAACTTAATAATCATTTAGAATGATAATATTTAGTTGTGTTGTTTGATTTTTTTTTCACTTATGTTGTCTTTAAGAAAATTGATGGAATATAAATATCACACTGTATGAGAAATTCTGAAATATATACTCTGAGACAAATCTTTGCTTCCAGTGCCCAAGTCAGCATCCAAATGCAGCAAATACAACCTAAACTTCTTATTCAAAGACATTATATCATCATAAGATTTTAAAAGAAACCTGGCTTCTCAATTGGACAAAAGTGACTTCATTTAAATTATTGATAAGAATGAAATGGAGCTAAATGTAAACAATATTTCTAAATAATTAAGTCACATTATCCATAAGTATTCCAGCCATTTTATATGTAATAATTTTAAACTTTGGTTGCTACAAAATGTATGTGCTTATTTTCAAAGCATTATTTAAATAAAAGCATCACATACAAAAGTTCAATGCAGAGCATAAATATTGATCAACTTATCATGTACTTTTTCAGTAGTTGAGAAGGACTGTAGGTTGTCACTCCTTTATATTAAAAAAATTAAATTACTTTTCTAGAAAAGAGGCTTTTGTAGATGCATTTAGCTGACAAAAGTACAAGAAAAGCGAGCACGTTATAAAAAAAAAGGATTAAAACTTTCTGCAAATTTTAAGGTGCCAATAAAGGAAGATGATACACAAAAAAGGATGAATTGCAGCTCAAAAACATAATAAAAATAAAAACAATTCCTGTATTCTTTGGAATATACAACTTGATTAAAAAATTATTTCCAGGATATAAAAACTCTTATTCACAGCATTGCTAAATTAGAAGCATTCACAGTTTCTCTTTGAGAATCATTGTATACTTCCTTTTAACTTACAGGTCGAAATGATTGATTAAATTATTTAAGATTGTGTAAGACCGAATGCCTCAGCACCAGACGTCAAACAAAATACTTTAAATTTCAAAGTCTGAAACTCTGGACACATATTGGGTATCTATCCTTCTCCATATTTATAGCCGACATGAGTGAACAGAACTACTATCTTAAACCTTTATTATTTTCTGAAGTTCAGACTTGGAAAAAGTCTATGAGAATGTAATCACTTCACTGAGCAAAAATCAATCAGAGAACATCATAGCAATATTTCCAGAAATACTGACTTCAGAACTGATTGCTATTCTGTGTGAAAGATAAACATGGCAGTGCTCTCATTCGTCATATAAAATCATGGACATTGTCAGAATAGACACCTGTAATAATAATTCAATATGGTCGCCACACTGCTTCTTCTAATCTTGCTGTTGTTCCCATATTGGTGGGGGAGTTGCTATGACTGCCTTCAGTGTCCACAACATCATTTTGGTTTGGAAGGTTGGGATTGAGTAAAGTAGATCCGGTGGAAGCATTAGTGCAAGGAGGCAGAATACGTGGGGGAGACCGATCACCACCGGACATCATGGAGAATTGGTAAGATCCTGCTGATGTTCCATAGTAGAGATGATACGAAGGAGAGCTGGTCTGAAATGGGCTACCTTGAGCCTGAGAAGAACCTGGATAGGGAGGTGGTAGGTATGTGTGATATCTGGTGGCGGTGGTCATGGCAGACATGCCAATTCCTATTCCTGAGCTGACTGGGGTTGGAGTATAGGTGAATGCTCCAGGATAGTGCATACGAGGATCAGAAATGGAAGGAATGGCAGAAAATGGACGATCAATTCCTACTCTTGGATCACTGAACGCTGTTAGGTCAGAAGCACCTGGTTTGGGAGAATGGACATAAACATAAACAGATATAAACTGTAAGTAAAAGACATGACTTTAGTTCATTGAAGAGAAATTACTCAGATACACAGGTGGCCCTCGTGACTTGTAGCCTGATTACCTGCAGTTTTGCATATGTGCAACTGATAAATGTAGACAAGACCTCATTATCAGCAGCAAAATGTTTTGCATATCTGCAGTCTTTGGCCTGTGTCTCTGTGAAGGAGATGCTGTTTGGAGTGGAAATTTTAGGCACGCACAAAATGGCAGATACGCTTTTCCACTTGCCTAAAGTAATTTATTTGAGGTATCACATTCACAGTTATTGTGCTGGATAACAGAAAATTAGATTTGACAAACGTGAAGTAGCAAAACTAAATGTTGCCTGTTAACAATGAAGCATTTGTAATGCTCTTGAATGATTTTGAAATGTATGCCTTAAGTAAAAAATAAATTAGCCATGATCTCTAGGGTACAAGGTTTTTCTCCACAGTATGTTTTAGTATACACAATATAGAAAATTAAGTATATATGTCTAGTTATTATTGGAGACATGAATATGAATAACATTTTACCAATCTTATAATAGTTGTACTATGGAGGTGTTCTGTTTCTAAACCCAGTGTTAAAGTCCTACATCTAACCACCAAATTCATAAACGTAACCTTAGTTCTCTATTCAATAATCTTGCTTAAGATCTAATTAATGAGAAAACTGTGACTTTGTTCCTAGAAAGTGACCACTGCTTTAGCTTTGTCCCACTATTCACATCCTGTTTCAAATAGCCATTTCTTTGCTACAATCATCAGTTGGGTTCAATAATCAACATTTTGCTTGATATAAAATCAAATATATTTTGCTCGCTCTCTCTCTCTCTTTCTCTCTCTCTCTCCCCCTCCCTCCCTCCCTCCCAGTCCAGGCAGTTGCCAGGAGTCAAACACCCCCCCGCCCTGTGCACACACACACCGACACAGACATATACTATGAAAGAATTTGTGAACTTCATTCCTCTGTTCTTTACTCCTTTCATTTGGACTAGATAGAATACTGGCTGCTTGGTCAACAGAAATTCAGAATGTTTATAAATTTAGGAACTAAAAGCATTTTGAATAGCTTGTTCCCCATTTGAAATAATGAACTTCAGCTCCCCTCCTCTGCTGATTGAGGAACTCTCACTTCCCCTCCAAGGCCTCCCCCCTCTCACAGATGAAAGATAATGGCCTCTTAAAAGAGAGCTAGGAGACAGGCTCCAGTTAACAGAGACTTTGGCTTCCCTTCCTTGCCAGCTATTACAAAGCATTAAAATAACAATAAAGCAACCTTTCCTCATGGCAAGCCCTCCTCAGACACAGTGTGGAGTCTGCCTAAAAGGAATGTGCCCGGGTGGGCGTACAGAAGGGAAAGAGTCAGAAAGGTGGGAGAAAGAAAACAAAAAAAGTCTGCCTTGCGACTGGATTAAAAGGGCGCTGCAAATATACCCATCGTGTCAGATTCTGAAAGCTTGTCAGTCCGCTAACCAGACTTCTTTGATATCCTTCAACGAGTTTCTCAGAAGGTTTCTGTGACAGCCTATAGTCGTAATTTTGGATGTGCCATATATAATCACCATCTGCCTTTCTTCTTAACAATACTACTGAACACCTGGAAATGCCTCCCTTGCAGATCAGATTTCAAGTCTAAATGCCAGTTTGTAAAGAGGACTGCCACTTTTTTCCCTGGGAAGGTTTCCTGTGCTCGTTGTAGCAGCTGTGACAGGCAGAAATTCAACTGGTGAGGCTGTAATCCAGCAGGGGAGTATAGTAATAGAAATGTCATGTGCTGAGCATCTTGATTGCCGCACATATCTACAAATGGAGCAGTGGTGTCAGGAATGTCATTGTTTTGCATCCAGATGCACGTCTCAACAATTGCAACTGCGGCTACAGGTTGCCTTGTGGAAGGGAAAGGGAGATGATGAAGATCTTTTGCTTGAGTTTGCTTGAGCCCAGAGGATAGAATATGGGGAAGGCAGAATTTCAGGCCTTTTATTCATGAGAGCAGGGGAAAATGGAATGTGTTTTTAGGGACTGATAAGTGAGTTGAAAGATTACAATGGAGCCCACTGATATGGATGAAATCTATAAAATAAGCCAAGCCTTCAAATTTAGGTAGCAGAGGGCAGGGTGAGGAATGTGAAAACAGCTAGCCTACAAGCAGTATAGAACTGCTGCGTTGGAAATCACACAATGGAACTTTTTGCAATTTGAGCTGTGCTGTACCTAAGCCAAAAGAGAATTGGCTGTGGGTACAGGGTTGTGGGAAAATAGTGACACGGTGCCTGTGACTGGGATAAATCAGCAGGGGAATTTTTCCATCATGCTGATGAAAAAAAAAAGGATGAAAAATCACTGGCAAGCTTATCTATTCTTATATCACGCAACAACAATAATTAGCAACCCCTATCCAGGTGTGATTTATTCAAGCTGAAGCCAGTAAAAGTGTTCCAAGCTAGCATCTAATTTTAGGATTTTTGGGAAAACAGATCAAGTTTTAGGTCATATTTTTGAAATATTGAAAATTGGAAAAGATTCACAACCATTTAAGTGCCAATGTATATCCCATTTTTTCAGGAATTCAAAAATGCATACCATACCAGCATGCATACCATTCTTTTCCCACAACAACCCTCTGTGAGGTAAGTTGGGCTAAGAGAAAGTGATTGGCCCAAAGTTACCCAATCAACTTCTGTTCTTGAGAATTGACTATAACGTCCTCTCCCCCTCCCCTGCCAGTCTGATATCTTAAACACTACAACATAGTGGCTCCCTAACTTGGTGTTTTAAAAATGGGAGTAAAGTATTATTCTGCTAATATCACTTCTCTGACTGGCTACACAAATGTCTTGGGTCTGAATTCCTTTCTTCACTTTATTTTTTTTATTATATATTTATCCCAAACAAAACACAAAATACTTTTTGGTCTGGAAGCTGTCAAAAGAATTGTTATGGAGGGAAGAGAAAATCCAGCAGGGTAGAACCAAATCTCTTCTTGAATTATATTACAGCTTGACACCATAATTTATGCAAAAAGCTGCAGCATTTTAGTTGCTCAAGGGACAGAATTCTCCAAGCCACTTACTTGTTAACCGGCTTGAAAGCTCTGCAGAAAGGGAGGTCATCCCACTAGCCCTTCCGGGTGAAATGGGTGTGGCTGGATGAACAGAAGAAGTTGCAATTGATCCCAGATATTGGTAGGATGGATCATAAGGCCAGGGAGGAGATGGCTGAAGTTGCCTCGTATCTGAAATGGGGAAAAATAGATGTGAAGAATGGTGAAATACATATCTTAATCTAACATTAACCATAGAGCATCAATTTGTGGTGAATCGGCTAGATGTGATTTATTGCAGTTTCTTGCAAGGATGGTTACAAAATGTATGTCTGCTGGTTGTTGTGTTACTATAGGATACAGCAAGGCACTTCTTTTATAAATGTCACTTAGTATAGTATAAATACTTTAAATTCCATGAGTAATAGATCACAAAACACTAAAATCATATTGGCTGAATGGAACACAATAACATTTGTTCTCTTTGTCAGAATAAGGGCCTCAGGATTATGTCTCCCTCTATGAATCTGCCTAGTGGCTTATATCAGCAGTAAAAGCCCCTTTAAGGAGAGATGTCCATGGGGGTAAGGCATGGGGAAAGATTTGGGTAATAAAAATACATGGACTGCAATATTGGGATGCAAACTGGGCCCCTTAGGCACCTACATGAGACATACACCATAATACAATTTCAAAAAGGTGCAGCTTGCCTGATGGCATCACAATGCACATTTTATTTTGGAATCTTCAAGGGTGGCCAAGGTCACCTATGTTTTCCAAGTACCAGAAGCTTCTGTGGCCACAGAAGTTTCTGCTCCTCAACAGACTCTAGAATGCTTTACCCAGGCTCCAACTTGCCCAACATTTAGGCAAATGACAAAATCTAATCCTTTTGCTTAGTTTTGAATTAATTATAATGATCTTGAGTTTAATTTGAATTTCCTTGGTTTTTCTGTCCTTTACCTTTTGCATTTTGTTTTATTTTTGTAAGCTGCCTTGAGTGCTTGTATAGCAAAATGGGTGTTCTTGTAATAAACAGACAAATAAAGATCAACATGCTTATTTTATTTTAAAACTCTATTTGCAGACATACTGATGGTTTTGAGGAAGGAAGGAAACATTACAAGGTGTAAATATCAGTATATAAAATTATTCTTTGCTAATGTAGGGCATCATATCAAATTACAAATAATCTTCCTGGTCAGACCCCCAAGTAACTATTTATGCTTAATTTATTCAATGTTACTGAATTATCTAGATCAAGGGTGTCAAACTTGCCGTGTCACATGACATGTCATGATGTATCGTGACTCTTTTTGCATTGCCGGCAAGGGGTGTGTGTGCGGCTTCGGTATGATGAAACCAGCCCGTGGGCTAGCAGTTTGACGTCCCTGATCTAGATCAACAAATCTTGACCATACCCAATAAATCCCACAAACCAACAACTTATGTAAAGGTCAATGGAGGAGGGCAGGTTATAGCCCTTATTCAATTTTGTACCATATGCTTCGTTTATGTACATATTTATTACTCTGGGTTTCTCATGTGAATTTCTAGAAATGGACAAGTTAATCTTTAGTTTTAACATCTGGATTCCTAACAGGTTTTGCTGTTATGAGTTGGGGGGGATTTAAAAAACTTCATTGTTAAAAACTGCATATAGCAGCTTTATAATTAGGTACTAACAAAAGCCAACAACTGCCCTCTGTTAAACATTTTTTTTAATGGAAAAAACTCTGAGCTATTTTCATGCATCTTCTGAGGCTATGATCTAAATATAAATACTGTGGCTGACCAAAGAGTAGTTTGATAATTTAACTAATTAACTAAAAGAGATCTTCAGAGAAAAGCTGTACAAGATGGGCAAAATTTCCTGTCCCCTATCAAATGAGATTAAATGCCCTATACTTCTGATTCTACAATTCTTTCCTATTTTGGCGTATATACGTTCACCTTTTTTTAGTTTAGGGCAGAATGGTGAATCTCCATTTACTCAACTGCTAAAACTAAGCATTAAACATTTTCTATCAAAATACATCAGTATGTAGAAAATTCTGCAGTCTTTGGCTAGGTTCACACCATATGCTGAAACAAAAACCTAGCCAAGCACATCAGTGTTCAGTAAATAAATAAATAAAAAAAACAACGAGTTACCCAAATGGAGCATTATTAATTTACTTAAATATTTACAGTAAGGACTTTATAGCAATAAATGAGTAAAGGTATTATAAGAACCCAACCATTTTCAATTTCTGAGACCAAAACAGAGTGAAGCCCTATTCAAATCACCACAATTTTTAGTGCTATTAAGGTTGTAGAGTGCTTCAGATTTAAAGGCATAAATGTGCCTCAGGGACACAGGACATGAATTTAACACCTATCATCAAATCTTTAAATCAAATCCGTCTTTTCCCAAGATTGTGTGACATGCAGTCACTATTGACCTGCACTTTACCTTAGATATTTAGAAAAGTATTTGGTCCTATAAATCCAGAAAGCTGGGAACTATCTTTGCAAATCACATAAGTGGAAACAGAACCTATTTGGACAGATATCAAACATTGGATTGTCTCTAGACTGCAGAACATAAAGTTGCAGTGACAGCTGAGGCACTACTTTGTGTTTCCATTTGTTAGCACTTCTGTACCACTTGAAGTGATGAGACAATGACTGCCTTTTGAGAAAACCAAATCAAAGGGCCTTGACTTGGCTTTGTACTTACCCTGTTGCATGCAATTGTAACTCCACAAAAAATATGGGTATGCAAAGACATACAGATTTAACTAAACAAGTTCTTTTTATCTAAAGTCCTTTGTTAGAAGGTGGAGTTAATAACTACTAAAAATATCAAGCCAAGATCAGAATATGAGATGTTAGAACAACTGTGAATGGCATCATATGAAAATGAGATGCTATATCACAGGGGTCTTCAAACTTCGCCCTTTTATGACTTGTGGACTTCAACTCCCAGAATTCCTCAGCCAGGCATCCACAAGTCATAAAAGGGCCAAGTTTGAAGACCCCTGCTAGATCAGTTTTGTCTTTATGAACTTTACTAAAAATCACCTGCCGCTAAAGACTTGGTTGACGATCCCAAATCAATATGTGAAGTTTCAGAGAAGATACTATTCTGAATTGCTTTCACATGTGTTCACCTATAAGTTTCTTCCATTGCACTTTACCATTAATCTGCAATGATACATATACACATCTTTATAAATCTATATAATTAGTTTAAAAACATTCATTTTATATACTATACAGCATATTTTGAAGGTTTTGAGTAGAGAATTCTGTTAGGCTATTCAAAGGGTGCAAACTCAGTAGATAAGTGTTAAAGTGCACATTACATCAGGAGGTGCAGATCAGATCTTTCTGTAACAGAATTGACAAAAATTGAATTCTTTAAACACTCTTAAAATTCACCTTCCCACCATGAAAGTCTGATATTTTTCAATTTTCTTTTTCCTCTTAGATTGCCTGCTGCTTTATTTTCCTCTTCTCCTTAACCAAGGTTTTTGTTTGCCGCTACTTATTTTGTTTCCCTTGATATTTTTTTCAAACCATGCCCCTTATCTATCCAGAAACAGAGCAATTCAGCCAATCAGTGACACATTTTTTTCTGATTATCCAACTTCTGTGTAATGGACAAGCAATTATGCCAACAACTGCTGAGCAGCTTCATAGCAACTGATGAAGAGATATCAATTTTCTTCAACCTAGCAATCTCCAGAGGTGTTGGGACTGGTGTGCCCCTGTGTTTATGTGTTTGTGTCCATGCATCAGTGTTTGTGTGTGTGTGTGTGTGCGTGCGTGCGTGCGTGCGTGTGTGTGTGTGTGAGAGAGAGAGAGAGAGAGAGAACTACTCGTATGTATAGAGCTTCAGAGACAAAGTTATTGAATCAAATTCCAAAACCAGAGATTGTTCTATTCTGCTGACTTCAATAAATGTAGGCATGTTTTCCCCACAACTTTGGTGTTCTTCCTAAACATTCATCCAGCACAGCTATAATGATAGGGAATTTAGGAGTTTTAGTCATAATACATGTGAAAGCTACTAGTTTAAGGAAGCTGCTTTAGCGAATTATGCAGTTAGAATCTGAAATAAGAATTTACATACAGCAAAATGGGATTTCAATATTTTTTAGACGGAACTAAAAAGAGCAAAATAAAAAGAATCATCTTGATTATTCTATTATCAGTTTAGATCATTTGCACCCTACATATAGTGCTTTTTTTTTACTATAACAAGTACTATTCATTTCTGCATTTTGCAGTGTGAGAAAGTATATGTAAACTGTTATTGCAACAAAACACTTCAGGGTGGGAACTAAACCCCCTGAGTACAGTTAGACTCGTGTACTCATGTTGCATGTGTCCAGCTTCCTGTTAAGCTAGCTATTAGATACAAAGCACTGGTACCATCATTCATGCCCCATCATGATTTACAGCCACAGAAATTTTGTGTTTGGTTTCTTAAACAACAACAACCCGACAACCATAATTAAACAGGACATATGTTGCATAATATTTAGCATTCATACAATAAGCTTTGATAATATATTCAAATCTATAAGAGAAATGTATGCATTAAAAATGGGTGAGCTAAATGTATATGAAAAAAGTCACTCAAGTATTTGTTGCTTTTTAGAAATGTGGGGATTTAAAAAAAAAAATATTCCGTATATGCAGCAATATGGACCTTATAATTGGTGGAAGTGTATCTTCCAAGAAAGATTTTTTAATATATGTATAGTGACCATTGGGTGGCAACAGAGAGCTTCTTGCACAGTCTTTTAAGCACTGTATAATGCTCAATTCAATTCATCGGATAATTAGTATAATTATGTACTGGGGCAACTCCATTCTGCCATAGTTTATGTTGAATTATCCTACAATTTAATATCTTAGTTTCAAGAATCCCTAATCTGCCAAACCAGACTCATGTGTAGATATCTCTGTAACACAAGAGTCCACCATTCTAAGGGCACAGAATGCTTAGTGTATAGTGGCAAAGAATAGATCTAGATTTTGTAGTAATGCATTGTAGTAAATCACAACAAAGTTTATCTAACTCTCAGTTAATATAATAAGTTAAAATATGCCTGCTTTGAAATTTATAGAAAATGAATATATGATGTTGTCCAGAACAGCTGTAATTCAATCCATAGCACAGGGGTCCTCAAACTC